CTTGGTCGGTTAGGATGGCCTTGTGTGCTGTCCGTACCGCGAACTTGGCAACTGAGTCAGCAAGTTCGTTGCCTGGTTGGCCTTGATGGGAGTGGACATGGCCGATGGTACCCTTGAATGCAGGCTGAACAGCACAGAGTAGCTGAAGTAAAGCCCGAGCGGCAATCATAAGCGGGTCTCCAGATTGGCTGCCCCAATTGCCATTGGCCTGCTGGAGTGCGGAGAGGCAGTCGGCATGATATGCCAGTGAGGGGAGGGTGCAGACCTGGGTCCCCCAGTAAAGCGCCCAAATCAGCGCAGAATATTCTCCTGCCAGGGCATTGTGCTCTCTGGCTCCTATGGAATCTGGGGAGTGAGATGAGGTTTGAACAACTCCTGCTTGCCAACCTAGAAAGTAGCACACAGCCTCTGACCAACCAAAGACGACGAAGGCCCAGGAGCTACCAGCCCCATCGAATGAGCCATCTGTGTAGATGTCGACATGCCCCAGGTTGCAGGATACAGCAGGCCACGTCTCTCTGTCAACGAACGAGCAGTGGCTGAGAAAATCTCTGGCTGCGGGGTGGAGATCCCCGAGCTCTGGCAGGTGGTGGTGTAGCGGCCAGGAGTCACGGGCGACACATCGAGTGACCTGATCAAGACTTGCACCTATGTCAACGGAAACTGTTGAGAGGTCAAACGTGGGACACTGTGGGAGGTGCTCGGCGAGATTAATCGGCCTGGGTGGACGGAGGTCCCTGTCTGTCGCCCCTCCCTGACTCTGGGACTGAATGAGGCTTCGGTCAACAGCGTGGTGGCTGGGAGCATGTCGGCTGAACTCTGCCTCACCAGTGTCACCCGCACCTAGCGAGTCGCCCGCTGGCTGGTGCTCTAGCAGAGCTTCGAGCAATGTCCATGCAAGGAAGAGCGGACGATCTGCACTTTCCAGTCTGCTACACTCAAGCAGAGTGTGCCAGGTCGAATCCTTGTCAAGGGAAAGTTCCTGGATAAGGCTGTGGAAGTCATCGTCCTGGTGCAACGGAGGCTTACTCAGTGGGCCTCCAGAGTGAAGGTTGCGGCAGGGCGTAGGCACCGGACGGGTTCCAATACACCCAGGGAGGCCCGGTGGGTTGCGTGCACAGGAAACGACAGTGTTGTCTGTGCCACCAAGTTGGACAGCGACGACCCCATGTGAGCGGAGCAGAGTCTGAAGCAAGACGACTGAGCAGAGGAGTGGCGCTCTGCTCAGAGCCCGAAGGCTGAAGGCCAGGAAAGCGCCAGCGAGGGCAAGCAAAGAGAAGATCAAGCAGAAGGGGTCGAGAGCACTATCAGAGGTGTCCCCAGGTGGCCCTCTTGAAAGGGCGTGAAGCACATTTACCCAGTTCCACATGGCAGGAAGGTGGCCCCTTCTGGGAGGTGAACGAAACAAGAACCCAACACTGACGATGAAGCAGTTCCTTGGTGCATCCGTACGCCGTGGTAGGCCAAGAGCAGCGCTGGTCGTGGTCGGCTGTGAGCCAGGGCGTCGAGAGCCACCGGTGCCGGCATCATTCCCAATCGACGTGCCAATCGAGGCAGACCGTTGTGACGCAACAGTTGATTCCCCATCTTCGTGGGGCGCTTCAGATCCATCATCCCCATGAGGAGACTGGCCATCATCCTGGTCCGGGGGGCCGTTACCTCCATGCGAATGTGGGATGAAGTGTGCTGGCAGGAAAGTGAGGACTAAGACGTCTAGGTCGGCAACCCTAACATCCCTATCAACTGGGTGGACAAAACCATCCTGCTCAAAGTAACAGAGCACAAATCCCGGTGGACATCTGCCGGCATACTGTTCGTGGAGTCTCGCACCTGGCAGAACGCCGTCATCGACAAGGAGGCACTCAACACGGAGGAGCAGGGGCCTTGCATCGACAAAACAGAAAGTCCTGGGGTCAGGGCTTGAACCAGCGTGCTGGTCGGGATCAAGGACAGCAAAAACATGGTCCTGGATTACCCCCTGATGGGTATAGGCCGGAGCCAGGGGCTCTGACGGGCACAGGATGAGAGCAGTCTCGCCCACACCAGCGGCAGCAGACAAGTCACGGCGTAGCTGACCCCGACGGGCTGGTGTGATTGCGAAAGAAAATGCAGCAGTGGGAGCGAGGACCCAGACATGCTCACTCGCAGGCGCAGGCGGAACCCATAGAGGGTCCCAATGATCGGCTGAGTTCAACATTGCAGAGAGGGTAGTTGTGGCAAAGTGTGGATGTCTTGGGGGGACAAAGATTGCCGTGTCCCCATGGCTGATAGGCACCTGGACCCCTTGCTGGATGGGCCACGGAATGTCTTTGAGGTAGACCTCTATCTCCGAGAAGGGGGAGAACCCAGCCGCTATTAGCAATCCTTCTCTCTGCACCAAACCGGGAAGGTGGGCCGCATGAATCCATCCTCCTGCACGGGTGCTATCCAGGACGGCGATGGCTCCAGAGGGGTCCCATAAGGGTAAACCAACTAAGACCCCGACTCCCTCAAGCGACTGAATGGGGACATGGCCAACCCTGGGGAGGTAGCTACGGACAGCCGGATTCCTCGCAGCACTAACTGCCTCAAGCACTTCGGTGGGCGTAATGCCAATGGGAATCCTTATCCGGACAACCTCGGCCTCATAGTGCTGTCCAAGGATGCAGAAGGTCGCTTCTGCGTATGATTGTGACATAGTCCCGACTTGAGTGGACGGAGCGCTGGAAGGGCCTTCACTCGGCTCAGCTTCAAGGCTTGTAGTCAAGATCGTCGAGTAGGCTATGTGCCCTCCGGTCAAAGTCGCTGGAGCTGAGCCACTATCAAGTGTCTGGGCTACCGGTGGAGGATCTGTGGCAGCATCAACTGGGCCCGCATTGGTAGGCCTGTCACTAGTTGCGGGGCGAGAGGGGACGTATTCGGCAACTATAACGCTGCCTGGGTGGACAGCCGCATAGCGCTGTGAGCTGGGGTGTCCCACTAGGACGACTCGCCGGCCTGGTGGAGCTTGCATGTCGAGAATGTCAAGGAGTGCCCAGGCATCAATTCGTCCGTCTTGGAACGGGATGGTGAGCCAGCCATTGCGCAGGGGACGGCAGTCGACGATGGCACAATATGCTGCTGGATTAACGTGTTCGCACTCAACAATACCAATGATGGCACGAACTGGATGGCCATTGATCGCACAGTCCCTAGTCCTTGGGTTCGCCGGACACAGTTTGAACCCGGAGACAGGTAAGCCCAAGCAGGCAGCGATCTGATGCTTGTACCTTGTCGGACAGGTAACATCAGTTTCATGCAAGACGGTCTGGCCGTCGTAGACTAAACCATACGCGGCAACTGGACTAGGGGGAACCCTAAATGGATCAGTGCTCCACCATGTTGGATCGCGGAGGCAGTCGGTAAGCATGGTTGCCTGTGTGATGGGCAGACCCGCAGGCACGACGCGCACAGTGTCGCCAGATGCAAGATGTAGCTCTGCCCCATCAGCAAGGGGGACCTGATCATCCCCAACATAGACGTCAAGAGCAGGTTGGCTAGAGAGGCCGATCGCATGCAGAAGGGCAAAGCGGTCCGCATAGGTACGACCGCAGTATGCGAACAGTCGGCCATCCACAAGTCTAGTGTCAACGCAGATCGTTGGAGGTTGCGGTCCCCAGCTGGGCTCTGCAATGAAGACACCGATTCCAGAAACTGGCTGGGGGCGAGCAGGATGTAAAATGGGAAACCGTCTTCGGTCCTCCGTTGGTCTAGCTTCACGGACTGCTTCAAGAGCTTCGGGGGGAACGGCAGGGAGCATGAGAATGGCTTCAACCTGGAACAAAGAGTAGTCAGGTGTGGCGACGACGAAGTGGAGCCGTCGTTCCTCCGACAGGTGTAAGACTTCGTCGTAGTGTCCCTCGTCGTCAGCTGCTGTAGGCTCTCTATGGTCAGGTGGAGCTGAGTATGTCCAATTGGAGCTAGTTTGATCCCCATCACCAAAGGTGGGAAGCTGCTCCCTCCACTGGGAGGCGTGACAGGAGCCCGAATCCCCGAGGAGTTTGAGGTGCTAAACCAAGGCCAAAGATCCCAAAGAAGCCCATGGCTAAACCTGACGGGCCAAGAGTCGAAGCAGATGGAGACTCCAACAGGGTCAAGAAGATCCTGAATTTTGTGGGCAAGGACGGTGGTGGCTTCAGGCATGGGGCCCTGGTGGGTAGTTCCGTCGGGACGGCGGGGCGAACGGCTCCTATCCCGTTGACAACCACCGGCTCCGTCGGTCCCAGACGATCCACTCGAGTCAGTGCATGTGGATTCAGAGTCCGCTTGCTCATCCTCCTGCTGCTGGCCCTGGAGGGCCGTGCTGCTTGGGTCAGGTGAGTTTTCAAGGAAATCTGCAATGTACTGAACTACTAGGATCCCAGCCTGTGGAACATGCACAATGGTGCCTTCTGGCCGAAGTTCGTGTCGGCCCCCCTTAATGTTGACGGCATAGCCTGGGGGCGCCTCAGTCTCGAATCTGGCACACAGACCATCAAAGTCAATTTGCCCTTGGTCCGCTAGTATCCATTCGATGTCTCGAAGGATCGGTCTAGTGTCGATGATGACTATGTGCATTCCAGTGCTACTCGCATCCCTGGCAGGGCTGTTGACACTCCGAGTGGCGACGCATATCGCCTTGCAAGTGTGGCCGAAATGTTCGACATCCTCAACAGTAGGGCTGGACAGATGGAGGACAGTGTCTGCTGGGTGATATCCGAGCAGTCCGGTGGCAACCCTGCGAAACTCAAGAAGGGTATGTGCAGGATTCGGCTCGTACGAGATGACTCTGGGCACACCATCATTGTATACAAGCACAGCAGACCTGACGGGTCCTGGGTACATAGGGCACGGCATAGCCCAGTGGCGTTCAGAGCCCAACAGCTCGTCGAAGGGATAAAGTGGGCCCGGCCAACGGCCGTCTGGCAGGAACGTGAACAGGCCTCCATTTTCAGGGACTATTTCTCTGTCTGCTGGTAGAGGTCGATCGGCAAGGAAGATGTTCAGCCTGGGCTCATAACGAGCGACACGAGGGCCAGAAGGGAGGCTCTGGAGAGCCGATCAGGCACAACTATGCTGAAAAGTCTGCCGTCGACCTGTCGGAGGTCGACTAGGACATGGCACAGAGTCGTAGCCCATTCCGGTAAGGACAGGATGCACGCGAAGCGGTTGTCCGGTTGCGGTTCGACCGGAAGTAGGGTATCAAAGTAAAGGGACTGGTCCTCATTCCGTGCCTCCTGGACTTCATTGAGCGCGTCATCTTGCTCGCAAGGCACCCGCAAGACTAGAGGGAGAACCTCGGCCCTGTACCTAGGCGCAAAGACAAGGAAATGACCGTGCAGGAAAGTTGGAGGCGGCGCTCCTTGTGGCCTGTCCCGTGTGAAAGTGGCCGGTGGCGGCACATGTGCTTCATCATCATACCGGGCTGGTGGGTGCACATCCCGATGTTCATCTACCGTTCGCTGCCATGGGACTCCTTGGTGTCCACCCGGAGCCTGGTAGGGGTTACGCATGCTGAGAGCGGCGTGGCTGTCCGCTGAGTCAAAAGCAGACCCCTCGGGTTGGGGGGGAGCAGAAGGCTCAAAATCGACATGGAGAACCCCGCCATTGCGGACACAGAAAGCATCGCCGGCTTTGGGAAGACCGCTGAAAACAGGTCGGTAGCCCCGAGGGGGGCGAAGGTCGAGGAAGTAATGCAGAGTGGCTTCCCCAACATGTGAATCCCCCGTGTAATAGAAAGTGGGTTTTCTACCAACGGGGCGGCAGTCGAGGATGATGAAAGCACCGGGGGCGACACCGCAGGCCTCAGCCGGTGTTCTCTGCCGGGCTGCAATAACTCCAGAGAGAAGGGCTCCCTGATGCACAAACGGGTGAAATGTGGCTTTGTCTGGGGTACACAACATGAGCCGGTCCCGACGACAACGCAAAGCGCTTGCGGCATGCAGCTCGAGCTCCTCACCTGGCTGTCCTGGGTGTAAGATGTCGCGCTCAACATCAGGCGCAAGAATGAGCCATGAGTCTGACACTTCCTCGCTGACGATCTGCCGAATCTCAGCTGAAAGGAAACTAGGATCCCCGAGACACTCTGCCGAAGGCGGGAACCAGTGAGGTCTGCCATAGACTGGGACAAATTTAATGGTGTCGCCGGTCAAAACCCGAATGGTCTTATCCGATCGTAGCGGGTCTGGATGCCCAGTCTGGAAGGCATCCCAGGGGGACATTGTATGCCGACTAGCATGTTCGATGACCTGAGCGTGCGGGAGATTCTTTTCAACGATGGCGGCATATATCGGGCCCCCAACAGCCGCAAAGTCAAAAACAACTTCGGCATGTTCCGAGTGTTCGAGCCACTGCGGTACAAGAAGGAGCGAGACATAACCTTCCTCTGGCTGTGGTTCGACAAAGTCCAGGTCAGCTGCAAAGAAGATCTTCCTGGGGCTGAGTTTATCAACAACTGTTTGTAGGAAGAGCTCTGGTGTGACCGGAACCTGGACGGGAATCTGAATCGCCTGGGAAGGGTATCCCGGTGAAAGAAGTACACACTGGACCTTAAGCGACGAACTGTCCGATGCAGCAGCCGGGACTGTCCCGTCGACCTCACCTGTTGGGACGCTCCACGCACGAGAAAGGGGCTCAGGCTGGCTGATGGAGGCACCGCCCTGGGAAGCTGTCCTGTGTTCAAGCCCAGGGACGGCCGTATCCCGAAGATCCTTAGGCAACCTTATCGGAACAGCCCCAAAGCAATCCGGGCAATTAAGCAGAATGAGGCACCAGAGGAGAAGCCGATTGCCGATTGATGGCATGCCACGCGGACGCCCAAAATGGCGCCCAGAGGGTCCTTGGTGAGCACAATGTGCAGGTGGCATGTCAGTCGATTGACTCGGGGAGAATCCGCGAAGACTCAACAGGGGCCTCGTCGCAGCACCTTTGCAAGGCAACCCCAGGAGGCGGCCAAGTGGTTCGTGTCTGGCCGGAATTTGTTTCCAGAGGCAAAGATACAGGGCCAACACTATCTGGAAGAGGATGGCCCTACACAACGGCACCAGGAAGTAGCCGACTGCCTCAAGAAGACCTAAGAACCACGACTCAGCAAAGGAAGAGAAACTAGGAACCCGAGAGGTGGGGGGACTAAACCAGAGAGGTCTAGAGGAATCAGGGCAGATGACAACTTCCCCGGCGGACGCCCCTGAACCACCGATACGTCTCTTAGGTGCTCGGAGAAGTTGGTCATCGACTTGCTTTGGGCATAGGATAGTGCCCTGGAAAGCAACAACGGCAACGGGGCCAAAGGTCTGACCTAAGCAATGCTCGGTCGGGAAAAATGGAGTGCAGCCAAAACTCGAGGCGCTTGATCTCCAAAACAATCCGCACCCAGTTGCAGTTGCAGATGGGAGGCGGTGTCCCCCAAGGGCAAGACCAAGAGGGCGACCAGAGAAGGATGGGTGCAGGCCTGGCAAGGGGATTCCGGAGAAGGTGAAAGACAAACACCTCTCCAGTCTCCGCGAGGAGGAGAGAGACCCAATACCATCGACATCGATCAGCCCAGGAAAGATGTCAGATGGGAGAGGGTCCCAGCAAGGTGTGCTGACGCTAACATCGAAGGCGGTGCCCCGAAGCGCCTGGAGGAGGACAGGCACCGAAGAGCCAAGAGGCAGGTTGCTCGATAAGAAGCCAGGCAACCGGGGAAGAGCAAAAGCCCTTTGCACAGAGACAGGGTGCCAGTCAGTGTGCTGAAAGACAAGGAGGGTATAGCCCCGCCAGAGCCCAACACAAGCCCAGTGCCAGCTCTGGGGGGAGAGGAAACGGAGAGGGTCGCGGACCACCATCACAAAAGCCCAATGTGGGTGATCAGCGGCTTCCTGGGCGGTCATGGAGGACGGACAAGGAAGGGGCAGATCCAAGCAGCTGCAGTCTACTGAGTGAGACCACAGAAGTCCACAGACTGCACTTGCCAACATGTCAATGGGAGGACATTGACCGACGGAGATCAAGCGGACAGGCCATCTCCCCAATGAGATGGCAAGCCCAGCCGGCTCCGGCAGTCTGTCGGCCCAGCGTCCTGTTGGCAATTGCCTCTGCGACTTCTGTCTACAGTTACTCAGAAGAGGAGGCTCTACTCCATGCCAGCCAGTCCTGATCGCTGTCCTGGGTCTGGCGGCTTCGCAGCACGGTCGAGCTCCTCGTCCTCTGTAATCACCTGTGCTCCCGTTTGGCCCGAGTCTATGCCGGCCGGGTTGAGACCGAAGGGAAACATTGCACGCTTCTCGCCAAGCTTCTTTGCAAGGTCTTCGGACCCTGGTGGTGCCCCATCCGTGGGGCCCGTGGGTCGGTGGGTCTCGTAGGGATTGACTCTTGGGGAGGCAGAAGACGATTGGCGGAGTCTCGTAGTAGCCGGTGAGGCCTGGTACGGCCCAGGGCCGTGTGCCTCCACATAGGCTGGTGGTGGGGGTTGTCCCTCGCGGATCCCCGTGTTGTGTCCACCATCGTGGGGCGGACCGCCAGAGGCAAAAGGCCCAGTCGGCGGGATCAAACCCGGAGCCCCAGCACTGCTCATGGCCATCTGTGGCAACGCTGCCAGGGTAGCATGAAGGAGTCTGGTTGCAGCTTCGGCTGATAGCATGCCCGAGCCATTGCCAGGTGGTGCCGTACTGGCCCGCAGGTTGCTCGCTGCCGCCAGGGCATCCTGGAGGAAGCCCGCTTGGGTCGATACCTCGCTCGTTGCCAACAAGGCATCCCAAGGATCCTCCGCCGTTTCCATGGGTGCTGTGGCAGTCGGCCGCTCTCCATTCACAATCGCCTGGACATTCCTGGCGGCATCCTGTCCTGTCTCCGTCGAGGCTTGGATGTCCTGGTCGATCTTCTGGATCGCTGCTTCGAACCTGGCCAGTTCCGCCAAGTAGTCGTCGCGCGACTTTTTGGCAAAGGCTTTCCACTGAGCCGTCTTCGTAGCTCTGTCCTCCTTCAGTCGTCTCACGCGGTTGTCTGCCTTCTTGGCTACCGAGACCGCCTTTTGCACTTCCCTCATGATGTTGTAGCCTTCGATGTTCTCTGGCAAGACAGTCGCTGTGGGCTCTTCTTGGAGTTCGATCTGATCGTATGAGGGCCGCTTGGTCGCCGATTTGGCATGCGGTGACACTGCATAAGACCCAGGCCACACACGCCCATGCCAGGGGGGCTTTCCGCCCTTCCACTCTTGCCATTCCTTTGCTGTCCATTTCTTTCCTCCCATGCCACAATCTCGTCGATAGTGAGGTCGAGAATGGTGAGCTTCGAGGCGTATCACGTCCCTGGCCAAGGGACACAAGCCTCTGGTGCGCCTCAGACGCACCCGTGTACGCAACTTTGATCGCAGTTGCCTCTTGTGGCGGTGCCAGGCTGGGCTACTGCGAACCCTGGGTATGGCGGGGAAGAAAGGGAGCGCACGTGCACGTCTTATGCACTGGGGCCTTCAGCTATCCTCCTGGGAGGTTGATCTGAGCCCTCATATATATATATATACATATATATATATATATATATTTCTTCGGTACAGGCATATTCCATACACCATACACATTTATAACATGTATATATATATATATATATATATATGCTATGTGTGTGTACAAACTACGAAGCTTTGGGGGGTCTCAGGTTGAGGACTTCTTTGCCCCCTGTCCAGGCACCACTCGCGGAGGATGGGAGCGGAACATCCTTTTGTGATGCTCCAAACAAAACAGAAAACATAAATGCTCTAAGACGTCGTGACGGTCATGGGAGGGGGGGGGTCTTCTGGAATATGGGACACATATTGAAACCGTTACCCTATCCCAGAACCCGGCAATGAACTTTTTGAGCTGCCAACATCTGAAGGAGCCAAGGTTAGCGAAGAGGAATCAGCTGACATGCACCAAAAACAGCCAACCGACCGATGCCGGCATCGTGAACCCGATGGTCTCAAAAGCATGCATAGACTACTTAGTCCCTAAGTTTTGCGAAGTTTCAAGCCAAAATAGCTGGGCTGAAAATCCGATGGCGCCCATGTGGTTGAAGATGCTGGCTGGATCTATAGCACCTTGTATTGCGAATACGAATATGCAACACATATATCGACACATTCGCGATTTCAAGGAAATCCAAGAATGGCTGGGGTTGTTAATTGATAGGGTTGAACATGAACAACAAGGCTTTGCATTTCTAGACCCTCACCACGATTCCAACATCGCCCTCAGCTGCTGGGAGCTGGAGGTGGGGCATCCGATGGCGGCCCACTCGGCCTTGACGGTGGTGCGCTGGATGGCGGCGGCGGCGGTGGAACTGGGGAAGCGCACATGGGCTTTTTGAAACACATATTGGGGAGCAGGGCGTCGAGCTATTTCTGGGCATTTGGCAAGGATTCGGAATGAGCCCTTGCCACATTGGCAAATCTCACATAGGACGAAATGTTCAACGATGAAAGTGCATGTTAAGGACGATGGTGGGCATACGCTCATACATACACATGCCGATGAGCTGGGCTTTGGGCCTGCAAACTTGACAAACCCGACACAAAAACTACCATAAACCCTACAAGCCCTATTATCCCATTAAGCGCTTCAAACTGCAGTAAGACTATCAACCCTGCACCCTGGCAGCATGCATCAACCCGATCTTGGTCCATGGCGTGAGTCCGGTACCGGCGGACGCCCAAAGCCTCGGAACGAATTCTGCCAAAGCTCCTATGGTTCTATATTACCTCCTTTATCAGGCACCTACAACCAGGACCCCTAGTATTTGGGGTTGTATCTTGCCCCTGTGTAAGGGAACCTCATGATAAGGATCCTATTTCTTAGAGTTCTAGATTTCTGTATTTAGGAGGCCGTTTGATAAGCACCCCACTATTTCGATTTCTATGTTACCTTAGTTCGGAGCCCATATTTACTAAGGACCCTACGACCTACGCGTTGCTTTGTGTGGAATCCTTGAGGGTTCTACTGTCGGGCCTGACTTTTGCTAAGTCGTCACACGGCATTGCAACAGGACCTTGTAAAGGTATACCCAGGCCCCGACTCATGGTTTCAGCACATCAAGGGGTAATCTATTTGCTTGGAGGCGCTGAGGCTCCATAGGGACATCACCGCCCTAGCATGGCAGAGGAGCTCTTAAATGTGAGGCTTTGAACAGACCGATATCTGTTGAAACTCCCACAACTTGAGTGTCAAAGCCTTTGTTGCCTTGAATTCAGGGTCTCTTTCCTGGAATTGCGGCGACTTTAAAGCTACCGAGTTTCTTCTGGGCGGGGGCGCAGAGCTTTGGGCTCAGGACAGGCGGTCTCAGGTTTTAGGGTTTCGGGCCTCGGTGCTGCTGGTTTATCAGTCTATGGGGCCTTATACCGTAGAGATTGCTGGAGTTTCGTGTGGATCTGTGGGTGTTCGAGAGCCGCAAGGCGGAGGTTGCCGAGCCCAAGGCCCGAAGCCCTCCATAGAGCCTTCATAATAAGAATAGGGATTGAAGGCCTAGTATTCTACTGATAGTTCAGGAACCCCCCCAGTAGTAGTAGTGGTATTTAGGGCCCCAAGTCTGAAAAGCCCACGGGCAAGCCAGGCCAGAGGCCAAGACGCACCGATCTTCTGCCTGAGAGCCCCTACTTCGGCCTGAACAAGAGGATTAACAACATTGTTCGCTTATGGATGATACACCCTCTGTATATAGTATGCCCCAATCCCTGCATCTTCTGCATCCAGTCGCTGGCAGGCCCGATGAAGTGGTCCATCATCTGTACGCATTGCAGACCACGTCCTGGGGCATTCGGGGGTTGGGGCTGTGGGTGTAGTTTAGTTCCCTTAGCCCCTAAATCCTAAACCCTAAACCCGCATAGTACCGCTATCCCGAAGGTTCCATGTACTCATAATGTAGAGGTATACACGCATGGAATTAGAGCGCAGTTGCAATTGCCCAGGGAGGGGTGAACTGAACTCAGATCTGAGCCGTGCTGAGGATGATGGAGTTTGAGGATTTTGCTGATTTTGCTTGGGCCAGTGCGTTAACTGTGCTGCTCCGAACTCTGAACCATTGAACCCCAAACTTAAGGTTCTCAAACACTGAAAAAAATATCGCATAGCGGTCTGAACACAAGAAGCTGAAGACCAATTCAAACCAGGCTTCAGGTTTCAACGGCTTGGACAACTGCGTTACCGCATAATCAATTTCGGTACGAAGCCTTCACGATACAAATCACCAAAGCCGTTGGATCAAGCCGTTAGCGCACGGCGACAGCAGCTGCTTGGTGGGCCCTACGCCGGTGTCTGACTTCTCAGTCGAATCGGCACCAGTGAGAAAGCTGAAACCCGTCACAGCGGCCCTAAAGGTAGGAGTTTAGCCCAGCAGCCCATCATGGAAATCACATGCCCTGCGAGCCCGCCATCATCTTCCAGGTTACCTGCAGTGCTGCTACGATGTGTGCATCTTACCACGCAAGTACAATTCGTTATCTATCTGTATATATATATATATATATATATATATCATACATACATACATACATACATACATACATACATACATACATACATACATACATACATACATACATACATACATACATACATACATACATACATACATACATTACATACATACATAGATACATACATACATACACACATACATACATACACACATACATACATACATACACACATACATACATACATACATACATACATACCTATATATATATATACTTATACATATACTTATACATACATACATACATACATACATACATACATACATACATATATATATATATATATTATATATACATATGCATATATATATATGTATATATGTATATAAGTGTATGTATATATATATATATATATATATAAGTATATATATATATATATATATACAAGAGGAGTCTTCGGGTTCCCGGTCTGAAGCAAACCGAGGAAGCGTATCGCGAGGTTGTACTGTAGAGTGCTCTCTACATGGTCATTGCTTGAAGGCAATAAAGCCCTAATCCCATAGACCGTGCCTATGTGTATACATAAATTTCGAATCCCAATCCAATAGCTTAATCAGGATGCAGATGGACCTTCGCGTCATGTGACGGAAAGTCTATTCAGATTCTCGTGAGTCTCCAACAACAACAAATTCTGAATTCAAATGGACCTTCTTCAAGAGGAGAAACGCCGAAGCGCAGGAGAAATCAGAAGTACAAAGACACCTATGGCCTGGTCCTGGTGTGTGAATTTCAAGGTTATGGTGTTTTGGGTCTGTTCTAGGGTCTGGGGCAACTCAACGGAAGACAAGTGCTGCTTCGAACATCGTGTCTCGCAGCATGTCTGCGCACAACCTCCAGGCTTCAGAACCTGGGCAGCTCCCACCCTAAACCCGAAAACCTCCACCTGAACGCCAACATCCTCATTAACATGTTAGGCATGTACCATAAACCGCAAAATCCTCGAAATAGGCACCGGGAGCCATAGTGCAAGGACCAAATACCTACTCCTCGACTTGCCAGGATCTCACTATTTATAATTCCTAGGGTTTGGGGTTCTCAAGACCTCGCAAAGACAATATCCTGACTGTGCGAGAAAAGTCACTGTGGTCTGGTAGCGGAAAGTCCTGGACTTGACTGGGCTCTGGGCTTCTCCAAGGTTTTTCAATTTCGATTTCCTGTACACTTCAGACTTGGGGGTCATCATCACCGTTGTGGCCCACTTCGGCAGAAGAGGCAGCGGAAAAAGCAGCAGCTGCTGTGTCGCCCTCACTGTTAAGGTCGGCATGCATATGACGGCCCTCACCAATCACAATTATCCTACTTGAGGGCGCGCGGTGCACAGGTTTGAAAGGGCAAAGACGCTTTGTTGACGCTCCAAATCCTGGCCAGGCGAAACAAGAACAAGACGTCACAATACCGCCACAAAGATTCCGGGCATAAACAACAGCAACAACAACAACGACGGCAACATTAGTGCCGACACTTGCAACAGCACCAGCAGCATCACCTGGAACTGAAGCTTCAAGATCGTCCCTAGAGCCCATGTAAACCTGCGTGACTCAACGCCCGCCACGTTGACATCCTGCCACTACAACCGAGTGTACATACATAATAGTAATAATGACAATAATATGTATATATATATATATATATATTATCAAAAAGTAATAATAATAATAGTAATAATAATATAACCAAGTGGCCGGATTCACCCGCAGCAGCTTGGCATCGGCTCCCTCTTTGAGCCACTCCTGGGGAAGCTGCTGTGCTCAGTGTGTACTTGTACCGCGCAGTGAACTTGCCTTGTTTGGCGCAATCCAAAAGAACTGAGAAGAACACATGAGGATCGGGTATGGAGAAAAGTTGAAGGCTTGTCGGGTTTACGGCTTCGGGCTGGGGGGAAGTATGGTAGGGTCCTAAAAGCCTGCACTCTCCTGGAATACTTCCAAGTCGATGGACTTTTGTTGCTCGCTTCTGCATTTGCAACACCAAAACCTACTTATCTGTCCGACCCAAACTTAAAGCACAACCCTGAACTTCAAGTGCTAGACCCTGAAATTTACAGTCAAAGTCCCACATACACCTTGGACCCCAGGTCGATACTTAAAGGATCACGGGACTTAGTAACTGAGGTTACAATTAAGGTAACTATACTTATAACCCAATTAAGGTACTTATCACCCTACTTACTAAGTCCCATGACCCTCCAAGTATCCGCCATCCTGACGCCTTGGTAACCCCTGCAGTCCAGAAGGTAGTGTTCGGAAGCTTCTCGTATGGTGCGCACCTTAGCGCAGGGTCGGATTTATGGCTTCTTACATGAAACTTGCTAGACATGCCAGCCCATAAGCTTGTAAGAAGGCATCGTTGCATATTCCACAGTGCTCTGTGTGGGGTGCAAAAAATCCGAAGGACAATCTTGAGGCTGCTACGTGTGATCTGCTGCTTCTTGGATTTGGCCACGTCGCCGCAGGGCCCAGGTTCCCAGAATCAAAGTTAACCATCACCCGGACAAGGCAAACACCGACATTGGTTTCTCGCAGCTTCAAGCATGCAACGCTAGCCGCTGAACGTCTGCGAACCCTAGCTCCCAAACACCCAGACTTCACCTCAAAAGGAAACTCCAGGCCTAATGCCCCAAACCCGAAATCGAAGCATTCAACCGCCAAAAGCCTCGTTTCCAGGTCAAGCATGAGTTTGGATATTGCACGTGCAGGGGGCTAGAAGTTAAGGCCTGGAGGTATGATGTCTAGAGCTTGTATGACATGTTCAGTTTTAGCATGATGCAGGGCCTGGAATGGAAGGAATCATCGAAATCCTCAATTGCTTTCGGAGGCTTTGCATCGAACCCGACTGAAACTGAAACGGTGAAGCTCAGCGAGAACTGAACACGACAGGTCAAAGCCGTTGATGAAACAAATGAATTAAATCGCTGTCAGTTTTGCGTCCACCTACACACTACAGCAGCGGTATGCCGCGGTCGCCACACTGCTCCAAGCAACCCCGCAAGCCGATGCGGAGTTTCAGTTATGGTGCATATCAGCAAGCCCAATGCCTCACAATGTCAGGCCGATATAGTGAACAAAACGGCTCTGGCCACATCCCGTTAACTAACTGAAACCGCATATTGGAATCGAAACTCCACAGAAAGGTCCACCCATCGTCCAGGCTCCCCACATTGTCTCCGGCACCCACCTATAGCTCTTAAGTGCAATCAAGGCTTCGTGGATCGGCAGATGTGCAAGCACAGTTGCTGCGGTTGTTGCATGTCAGCAGTGTAAACGTCTTACGAGTCGTCAGCATGGTTGTCCTAGGGGTGCCGCATGCTTTGCTTTGTTGTATCGGCACATAGACCTGCTTGTGGGTGGTGGTTGAAGCTAGACCCGACACAACTGGACCCTAGGTTTCCTAAATCCTAGAAGCTATCGAACCCATTTTTGTCAAACCCAAGCGAGACGAGTACGCGCCCGACTGCTGAAACGATGTTGAACTTGAACTCTGGGCCCAACAGCTTTCACGGGTGCACGCCCTGAAGACGAAAGGGACAGCTCTGCGAAGGGAGCGGGGCAGTGGCGCCGTGAATGCTTGAGTCAACTGCAACCTCGTGAGCAACTTCACGTTATTTCCTGTCAGGCTGAGCGTCCTCTATCTTCCCCGAAGACGTCTTCGAGTACTTCAACAGAACAAACTCGAAGAAGCCCACACACAGCAAAAAAGTCCGAAGACCAGTGAGTAGGAAACGCAAGCCAGCAAAGGACAGTGCTGGAGTACTAGGTTCAAAGTTGCATATTTGGGTTTAATACATTCTGGAGTTAATTCAGATGCGTATCCTTACACTAACTTAAGGTCCTACTATTCGACAGGTCTATGTTGGGGGGTCCCTTTCTGTGATTTTGTGAATGTGCCGGTTGTGGTGCTGCTTGGGGTTCAGGCTCTCTCCTCACACGAGCACCCAGTCAAGAGGCCGTTGGGCTTGGCCAACCAAAAGAAAAGGTAGGGCTCGGCTTGGCAACTACTTCTGCAAAGGGGTCCACCAATCACTGATGCTTGACGACAAAAGCCCGATCGAAAAACAGCAATGCTCGCAACCCCAATAGCCCAAAGCCTTTACGGCCCAAAACAAGGGACCATAGTTGTAGCGCTTGGGTAGGCCCCTGGTATTCATGCTGCGGACTTTACTTGACAAGTCCCAGGAAGCATCGTCTCCTGCCTCGAGGATGACGACACGAAGCGGGTCGGCAGTATACGCACCTAAGGGTTGCTCATGGTTGCCCTGCTTTCGCAGCAGCTTGCTGCATATTGAGAAGCTCGCAGGCTGTATTGAACAAGCAAGGGGACCCTTGCTCCCAGTACCATAATTACTGTGTTCAGAGAAGTTTAGTTCAGACAAGACTTACAGACGTCTAGCAGCAGGGTCGCTCGCCCCCGCTGCGCTTCAAACCTGAACCAAAGCCCCTGTGTGCATTAGAATTAGAAACATCAAACCAGCAATGAAACTTTATGCTTCATCTCTCATCACGACTCAACAACTGAAAGCTTGAGGCTTCAGCTAGAAACCGAAGGGAGAAAGACCAGCTGATGATCGGTCAAACACCGTTCACTGGCCCCCGTGCTGTCGAACCCAAGGCACGGCTTTTGATCAACGATCTCACCGCCGCCTCCCAGCGATCGTACCGATCCTCGCAAATCGGGTGCATACCCTGAAAGCGTTGATCCACAACAGCAAAGACACATGCTTGTCAACATTTTGAACTACTACTCACCGTACTTCTTACGGAGCCTCACTGAAATCCTTCTCTTACTCAGGCAGGCAGAGCACGTGTCGGGTGCAACCGCACAGCACGCAGCAGGGGTATACTGTAGGGGCCTGAATGATTAGGAGACTCTTTGCGGGAGATTGTACTACAGTCGCAATTAATGAGGAATCCTGTGGAATAATAGCAACATCACTTCGGGCCACTTTAAAAATTATGTAAGCCAGACAAGGCGACGAAGGTTCCAAGTTTGGTGGTTTGGAGCGTTTCGAGTCCCGGAAAACCAGGTGTCGTTCGTTCAGCGGTTTAGGTCTGAGCACCTGGTAGAAATTGAATGTCACAAGATGGCGATCTCTTGAATGTGTATACATATACTCATAAAATGCATATACATGGAAATAGTATAGATGTGCATGTGTATGTACATGCTCACATGCACATGTATATATATGTATATATATATACACATACATACATACATACATACATACATACATATATCTATATATATATATATATACAAGTATGTATGCACATCAATACTTATGCACACATGTGTATATGTATCTAAAGCAAATTGTAAATATGCTTACACACACATAAACCGTGTATGCACAGTCCCGCGCACAAACACACACATATATATATATATATATATATATATACTTACATGTATCTATTGTCCAGTTTCTTTGGCCATGTATCTTGCTCAGCATGCGAAGTACTGCATGTGATTGTGAGCGTAGTTTCCTTGATCGGAAGTGTGACTCTACAGCTAGCGCGGGACTGTTGGTTGGAGATCTAAGCTTATGGCCCCCCCGTTCACAACGCTACAACCTGATGAGGCTGCATTTCGAGCCTACGACCATTATGGCTTTCTTCCGGGACGTACACACAGATCACATGGACTTGAATGCTGGTAACGTAGGGCGATGTTGCCCGGACTTTCTTAGGTCTTAGCGGTTGTAACCGCATGTGCTGTTTCTGCGGAACAGCAATCTTCAGAACGAAGTGGTATCACAGCTGCACTAGCTGTCCTGCTGGGCGCCGAGATCTTGAAAATTGTGGTCACCTCAGCCAGAGGTTGCAACAGTAATCTCTTTGTCCTCTGCAGTCGGGGAAGCAGAGTTTCCATGGAGCGCACCAGCGAAGACCTGAAGCCTCAACACCCAAAACCCCCTAATTCGAAGCTTCAGATTACCGGTCCGAAGTACGGATTCCATTCGCACGTCGGCTGCTCCCTGTTTGTCGTCGGGTCAAATTCGCCCGGCTGACGCTTGACATTACTGCCAAAATCAGCGAGATCAATCACCTCCATAATTAGAATAGGGTTTGGGGGCCCATTATACTATACTTCTAATCAGGAACCCCCCAAAAGAGTGTTGGTAATCTTATCATTGCAAAACCGCTTCGCGAAAATCGGCCGACAAGTCGCCAAACATCAAGATCGAAGGTCTGGCTGGACCGCCACATTTCTGGCACACCTTCGGTGCACGGCGGGGCGTGCACAGTTTTTTTGCTCGGGTTCGGGATTGACTTCGGATTTCGGGCTGCCAGCGAAGAACGCACTAGAGGCTTCAGACAGTTCCGATTCGACACGGGTGGTACTATGCGGCCATCCGAAACTGGCCGTACTCCCAGCTTGGTTTCATAAGTTGAAGCCCGGGTGTTGGTTTACACCAGGGTCTCGGGTCTAGGGGCGAGCTCCGGGGTTTGCAGCTTCAGACGGCTCTGGGTCCGTGTACTTTCGCCCGGCTCTGGGACCGAGGCGCCGAGCACAATCCCTGATCCCTGAAATTTTAAAGGGAGGCTCCCCGCACAACTTGGCATTCAAAGTCCCAATGCCCACGCCCTGAGCGCTTCCACCTTGGCAGGTCGTGTTACAATCCGTGCAACCCCTGCTGCAGCAGATGTGCTGGGTGGTTCGTCGCGAACCCTCTTGCAGCATCGGAGACGTCTGTCGAGACCTGTGCATGGCCGGTTGTTGAAAGTCAAAATTGACCACTCATGATTCAGAGGTTTTGGGGTTCCGGGTCAACCGAGACGTTGATCCGGAGCTGTTTCATGGTGACAGCAAGCCATGGCGATAAAACCAACCCGCAACCTGCAAGGTTCTTACGGAAGCTGCAAATACAGGGTGCAGTATGTAATTACTCTCTTCCTCCGCTGAAACCTTTCCAGTCGTCCAATAAAATTGTCCTGCTATCGGAGACTGGTCCAGAAGTTATTTGCAGAGCTGATGCCAGGCTCACGGAAAAAGGCTTAGCCTGCCAAGCTTAGGGCTGAGAGCGCTTCGGATCAGCTTAGGGTTTTGCGTTTAGGGTTTCGGGTACAGTATTGCTCAAATTACTTCCGGGCTTCAGAGACTAGAGCTTTGCGGGATGAATAAGGAGGAAGTTGCCTGGTAGCTTCATCCGGTCGATGTTTCAAGAAAACAGCCAACGTGCAAGGTCAACTTCGGGTGATCAGGCTCAATTTAGGGCTTCATGTGCATGTAGGACGCCGTCTTCATCTCCAGGGCTCAGGTTCTTAAGCTTTCAGGGTTATCGAGCTAGTCCTTGCATTATAATAAGGTCCGGCAGTGGGTCTTCATGGGCTTCCATGTGCGGGGGTTGGGGACAAGCTTTATAATCGGGCGTTCGATTTTGTGCTTGATTTGTAAATCTTGCCAAGCTGGTGCAAACGTTGCAGCGCAGCCAAGTGCGACCTGCCCGCCTCGTGCATGTAGCGCAGCGTGTACTGCCGCTCCTTGATGACAGTATGTAATGAGAATCGTACGTAAT